ATTTGAGGTGGTTGTTACAGTGTTTTGGGGTATTCTGGGTGGTTGGTAGGGTATGTTAGGTGGTTACTAGGGTGTTTTGGGTGTTCTGCGCGTTTGCTAGGGTGTTTTGCTACTGGTATTTTCTTACTGGTAATTTTACAAAAATCCACATTTGAGTCTCTCTGATAGTCTGGTATCTGTTTCTATGAACTTTTATCTAAAAAAAGAAACAAGAAGCAAAGATTTAATCAAAAGAAAAAGAATATATCATATTTGTGTTGATCTTTTCTGAGATCAGAATATATCAGAGTCAGAATTTAGAAATAAACAGTGAATATTTACACCGTTATCTGACATAAGTGCCCGTGTTATTCAGTCACACACACCGCATCGGCGGCTTAGATCAAACTTCTGAACACAGGCACTCATTCGTGCAGAATCCATCCAGTCGTGCATCAGGGAGCTTTAATTCGGAAACACAGTGAGACCAGATCTAATCGGATGAGGTTTCATTCAGCGGCAGCAAAACAAACAAGCTGTGAAAAGCACAATCAGGGCAGCAAAACCCTGCGGCCGCACAGACACACACAACACCTTCAATACAGATAGCACTGATACATCTCTGTGTGTGTGTGTGTCTGAAAGACAAATAGAGCAGGAAAGGTGTTTCTCAAAACAGGAACTGGCAGGTTCTTTTACCTCCTGGACCACAGCTGTAGACTCTTTCCCATGATGCTTCTGGATTTCACAAGGCTTTCTGCAGAACAAACACACACACAATAAATGGGGTTTCTGCATAGGTAAACTCTAATTTAATGACAAAATCATATTGAAGGTACAGCAGAATCTATGATTAACTATCATAGAACATCAACTTGTTATGGATCCCCAAAAATCAGAAAATAAATTGGTGCACCCTTTTATTATTAATCTATAATCAAGTCTCATTTTGAAAAATTACAAGAAGCAAGCTTTCTGTTTACAATATATCCTCTGCAGATACATACAGGAATAATCAGGCCCACACTGAATTTATGCATGCAAAAAGTGCCACAGATTTCCGACAGCTGTAATTTAAGCTATACACATACCTTTGCATGTTTATGTAATATTTTGTCTAATCTGATTATGCATTCAGCTGTCCATGTTTACAGCCATTCAGATTCTGTCTGTGCGCCACATTAAACAACGAGAGGCCATGTGTTACAGAGATTTTATCGCAATTAAGAACCCTTAAACCAGCCTAATGTGGTTTGCTGTTCTCGGCTGGCCGTCAAACTGGTTTCTACTGGTCAGGTTTGATGGTTTTAGATATTTGGAGCACAGGCAGAGAAACTACAGCATCTAGACATACAGCTAAACCACATGGGTTGGTTTTTTCACCATTAACTTTGATAAAATCAGAGTATGGTATAACCTTGAGTGAGTAGTTCTATAAAAAAGCAGCTTAAAATATGGAAATGATATATATGCAATAATAATATGGTGACATTGATGCAACAATATTAATATGTTTTAAATGATTTATTATTAATATATTTAAATTGTTTTATAATTTAATTTTTATGTATTTGGTATATATATTAATATATGTTTGATAATTTAAATAATAATAATAATAAATATAGCAAATAAATAAAACAAAATAAACATTTTTATTTGAAAAGTGAAATAAAGAAATCTATTTACTTGTAATAATAATAATAATAGTAATTTTACAACATCTTTAAACATGACTCGTCAATTAAATTCAGAGTCAGTATTGCGTTTTATAATATTGCTAAAACACCTAAAGCAAGTCTAATGTTAGTGATGTAGCTTTAACAATGTTCAGATGGGGGCGATATTTCCAGTCTTTTAACAGCCACTGATATCCTCTCCAGGGTTCTGAACAATCCCTGCTCTCATTTCAGATGCTGATTTGATCAACAGAGTCTGTCTGAATATTGAGGACCTGAAAGTGTTGTTCATTTCGACTGCATCTGAACGTGTATGAATGTCATGATAGTTCACCTCCGCTCTCAGGTGTCTGCGGTGAGCTGTGGGAGCTCTGCCTCTCCTGCGACCTCCTCTCCAGGGCTCGAACTCTGGCCTGCGAGCGCTGGATGAAATCAGGCCGTCTGATCGCTAAAGCCTCCTGCACACACAGCAACTTTCAATAAAGGACCGAAAGAGCTGTTCGATTTAAAGTTGATATTTAAAATCTGACTCAGAAATCAAGATGTTCAAAGCTGTGTCAGTAAAATCACAAATGAGATCTCTTTGACATTTCAGTTATTTCTCCTAGACAGTAACGAGTTAAATGGAAATATAATGGTGACTTTAAGATAGCAGCTGTGTTTGGAACATGATAGCTGGTTTCTAACTGGTCTAAGAAGGTCATTAGCTGGTTGACCAGTTTAAAATGTATTTTCTATAAGCAAGAATACTGGATAAGCAAAAATAAAATTGGAACTAAAATGGTAATTTTGCTAAAGTAAAAAATAAATTATTTCAATACTATATGGAATTTATTATTAATAAATATACATCCATTTATAAAATAATTTGTAAAATACAAATGTATTTTGCAGGGAAAGAGATTAACACCAAGTCCAAAACATCTCTCAGTTTAAGATGGATGAGCAAAAACTTTCTCCTGGGAAAAAAATTCAATTCAAATTTTTACTGAGGTAAAAATTACATTATTAAAATATTATATGGATTTTGTATTATTAAATATACATTTAATTATGAAATAATTTGTAAAATAAAAATGATAAATGGCAAGAAAGGTGAGATTAACACTTAAAAAATATATTTAAAAACCCACAAAAAAAATCACAACTCTACATTTGTTTTATTTCCTACTTTTAAAAAATATATGGCTTTGATAATAAAATTGTCATGATTTCCAACTAGAATTCTGCAAATGATAAAAAATAAATGATAAATAAATGATAAAAAATTCCTGAAGTCCTAAAATACCCTGAAATGTACTAAAAAGTCAAATCAATTTAAGTAAATAATGGCCTTTTTAAATGATAAAATATTTTCTTTTAGAGGTCGGGTTTGAGTTGGTCTACAGTAATTATAAATGGCTTTATTTGAAGACATCTATTGCATGTCCTCGTTTACATAACTAAACGAACATAACTTTGGTACAGAAGTACCTGCAAACAACAGAAGAGAGAAGAGTAACTCACGCTAAGTGACAGTGGAGCCAAAGCAGTTTCACGAAGGTCATTTTCTGACTCAAATTGGACAAAATTCACACATTGTTCTGCTGGACGAGTTTTGTCCTTTCCATTAGCACCAGCAGCCTCTTCTTTGAGCTCTCTGTGTTCATTTTGCCCTCTAACCTCTGTTAAACACACTGATAAAGAGGAACAATATTCAGTCATGAAACCTCAATCTGTAATGCTCAGCATAGGCAGATATTCTGCAGCTCACGAATGGAGGAAAAACTCCAACTGTGTGGTGAGCTGCACTAATGCCAACATGTCCAGAGTTTAAAGACATCAATCTCTCTCTGTTGTCTACATAAAATCCTCTCCTCCTGCTAAATGTCAGTGTGTTTCAAGTGAAGTTTGTGTTTGAAGAAGCCAAAGGTCAGGAGAGATCAGGTACCTGCTGTTGCTGTGTGGGATATAGTTCGTCTCTGCTGGGCCTGCAGCTTTATGTTGGCGATAACCGCAGCGGCGTTCAAGGCCAGGACGGCGTCTGCGCTCAGATCAGTCGAGTTATCTGAGAACAAAGAGACTGTGCATCATCCAGAGTCTCTACTAGGCCTGAAACACACTGCACACAAGTGTCAGAATGCAAATGCTTCCGGCTATGCAAGCGGGATTTTGTTGCTGCATTCAGAAATGTAAGTAATGCAAGTATGCTACGTTCTGTGGCAGAATGATATATAGTTCTGCTAGGCCAAAACTACTGTTAGTTAAAGTACTGACATACTTGCAGTTAAACAAGAGAATGCAGAGAGTGCATTTGGTCTGCATTAACATTTGCTTGTAATTTGTTTTTGGTCTATGGACAGCTACAGCAAATACTGGAGTAAGGAGTTCCAGCAAACTCTTACATTATATTATATTTATTAAAGGGGTCATGAACTGCCTTTTTTAATTATTTTGTACTGTCCACTTATACTGTTATCAAGATTTTTGCAACAAAAAACATCATCATTCAGAATAGGCTATTTACTGTCCTGTTTTGACCCCTCATCAGAACGCAACGCTCTGTTTGAATTCATAGCTTTCAGTCACGTGACCGGCTCGAAAACATCCATAGAACTGCAGGACAAGCATGTCAATTTTCCATCTGTTTCACAGCTGCAAATATTTAGATCACCTCTCAAAAGAATAAAACAAAGGTATGTGAACAAAATGCAAGTTTTGGCCATTTGCAATCCATATTAAGCACCCGCGGCAATAATTCAATCATTAAACAGTGCGACAAAAACGTTGTAAAAAAACTTAAAGTGCCTTAATATATTTAAAACAGTACTATTCTCTATATTAATGTTGCATAGTTTACATAGGCAAGCAGATGAGGCCGGAATATGAACGCAATCTGCTTAATAGGTGCGTTCGACTTGAAACACGGCTACAGACGGCGATTAACGAGAGTAGCCGCTTGCAGTCGGGGTCAGAGTTGAAAACAGCGCGGTCAAGCCGGACATTTCTGCTCCCGTTAGTGACACTCACGCGGTGTTTGCATACTCTATCACAGATTAAATTAAATGCAATATTTATCAAATACACAACAGCAACAGAAACACTTTTTATATATTGCTTAATACAGCGCCATCTGTTCAAGAATAAAGTTCAACGTGAATATATACTATTTAAATACTAATAAAGTGGGGGTATATACTGTATGCTTTCATGATAAACGTGACTCAATATAACATTGCGACTACAGTAAAAAAGCTTTTACTGTTCTAAAAACACAGATTTATGAGCAGTATTGGACTTGAAGATGTTAGAAACACAGGGGTGAATTTGGCCAATCGTGAAACAGCTGTGTGGTCATCAGCGCTCCTGCAGTCGCTCTGAAAAAGCTGCGCAAGCTGAGTCAGTCGGCTGCTCTCGAAACGATATCGCGGTACTTTGATGCCGCACGTGACAGTGACGTACGCCGCCGGTTCAAGTCGGACTAAATTTCTAACCGGCATGCACTGCTTCAAGTCAGCCGCCGATCGGTCTGCGCGGTGCTGCATGAAGTCGAACGCGCCTAATGATTCAGGTGGGCGTTCCTATAAGGGTGTGACATCAGGTGAAAACTGCTGTGATTGGCTAATAGTTGTGTAGCTAAACAGGCAGGGATGTAGAATCGGTGGGCGGGGCTAAACAGGCTGTGATGTAGATTCGGTGGACGGAGCTAAACAGGCAGGGATGTAGAATCGGTGGGCGGGGCTACACAGGCAGTGAAGAGGCTTGTTCGAGATGGATCAGCGCTGCACAGACCGATCGGGCTTATGACATCAAAGTACCGCGAAAGCGATTCAAAAGCTTAAAGAGTTGTCTGCTCTCCAATCACACTGCCTGTTTCATTAAAACTTACATAATGACCCCCTTTTTGAGGGATTAATAATAACTTAATTATTTAATTATTTAATTTAATAACGTGATAATTATGAAACATATTATTAAATATAAATAAATATTTTCTAAAACAAAATAAAAAGTATTAAAATGTTATCTGGAAAACATTACATTACTATTGAAAATACATTTATTTTAAAAATTATTTTTCAAATACAAAGACTGAACACAAATACTGTACACTGCAAGGATGGGTGGATAGATGGATGGATAGAGAGATTCTGTAAACGTTTAAAAAAATAAAAAATTTTCATCCTAAATCCTAAATTTCAAGGGGAAAATCCCTCTAAAATGTCCTAAAAAATAAAAATCAACAAAGCAAACTGCATATAAAATAAATAGCATTTTGTGTTTACTTTTAGAGGTGTGAATTAGTCTGAACTAATTATAAATGACTTCATTTCAAACAATATTCATCTATGCATGTCCTCAGATAGTTAAACCTGTGTGTATGCATGTATTTCGGCAGCTGTCAGATTTCTCTCTGTGTGTAGCAGCTATAAATTCCCACGGAAGCTCAAAAACCGGGATTGAAAGCAGGGTAGAAATAGATTATGCATGCAAGAGATGTGTGGGAAAAGGAAAAGATGAGAAAACGTAAGACAGAATGAGAGAGACAGCACAGAAATCTCTCATTTCAGGGCAGTTCACCGCTACTGTGCGTATCTGCCGTGAAAAGCTTCAATTAAAAACCTCTGCTCTCTCACACGATAATACTCATCCATTATACATCAAAGAAGTGCCGCGCGACCTCAGCCTACAGTATGTTCTTGTACATCTACCACCGAATATCCACAGAGGTTCTGCTATTACCTGCTGCTTTTAGTAGCGTGAGAGGTTTGATTCCTGAAATAGGTTCCTCTCGCTCCTCAAGCCTTCGATCCCACTCCAATCGCTCTTTGCTTGCGCTCCTGTCCTCGCCACCGGAGGCCGAGCGCCTTCTTGCTTCGCTGCTGCTGGAACTAACAAGGTCAATATTTGTCTTCTGGGAAACAGGAGAGCTCTTGTTGTGAAACGCTGGATGTGTAACTGCATTAGTGCCAAGCTCTGTGCAGTTAAACAAGCTTGCGTCGCAGCTGAGAGGCCTTCGAGGTGGCTTGTGTTTTTTGGTGTCACTCTCCCCTGCTGTGCTGCTTGTATTTGGGTTGTTGAGGTAAAGAGACAGGCTAGATCTGTGCTGGGACCTCCATTGGTTTCCTCCTGGCTCTAAAGATATAGTTAGTGTTTGGTTCATCCGTTTAGATTCATTCGTTAACTGGGCTTCGTTGAGTCCTTCAGTGTAGCTGTGTCTGTATTGTGATGGACTGAAACGCTCTCTCTGTTCAGTCATTTTCACAATGGCTGTCTTTCTCCTCAGTACCACACCGTGGTCGATCTCTTCATGATCACAGCCAGAGGTCGAGACGATGGGCCGGCTGGTGGTACTTTTCGTTCTCTGTTCGGTGACTTTGACCACTAAGGCTTTTCTTCGTCTATCGGCGAGGTCATTCATCGCCGGACACAAAGGCTTGGAAATCTGTGTGACCTTCCTGGAAGTGATAGTGATGGATGATATTGAGGAGCTGAAGGACTCCGGTGCACTTCCGCGCCTGCTTGTGGGATCTCTAAACACAGGATGAGGTCCAGCATGGCCCGAGTCCATCTCGGCTTTTGGATTCCAGGCTTGCGATCCATTTCGTCCTCCCTCGGAGCTCACAGATCCTGAAGCCTGCAAGCAAACAAATGAAATCCCTTGAATTGGGCTTTGTGCGGATGAAAGAGGTTTTCTCTGCCTCCTGCATGCATAGTAAGGCTTTCGGAATCCACATTGTAACAACTCACATCATTCTGAACTGGTGCATTCCACCGTTTCCATAGCAACCGTATCAGTTTTGGGGGCAATTCGGTTAAGTTGGAATTCGGGGCACTTCTTTATTATATTACGAGAATCACAGAAGTTTTTTAATCTTTTAAAAAGGAATGCCTTACTTTCAAAGAGCCTGAATGGACAAAATAGAGATTTGTGCATATGAACATAAAAAAAAACAGGTAATGTACCATGGTATATATCAAAGTACCATGGTGCCTCCATGGAATGATATTCATAACCAATTTAACTTCTGAAATATTTCATGTTTGAGTGTAAATTTGGATGTTTAAACTATTTTAAAAAATGTAGATGATTCGATATATCGGTATAAATCCAACTGATATAAGACCAGAAACATGCATTAAGAAAGAACATTTTGAGTTCATGTTGTCTTTAGAATAGAGAGAAAAACTAAAGCAAAAAGACAGAATAGAATTGATATCAAAAACCTCTGATTTCAAACACTTTCCTGACTCCAAAACTCTTTATATAAGTACAAAAAATATAACTTTGATTCCAAAAACTCTTCCAGTGACTCTATATACTCAGCATTGACTCTAGAAACTAAAGAATGCCATTTAATCAAACTACAAAGAGATTAGAATCTGATGTATGCTTTGTATTTTTAAACTTAAGAACTTTCTTAAGAAGTATTTTTTAGGAATACAAAATATAATTTTTTCTTATCTTTTACTTTTTATCTGGTGTATGTATATCAAAGTACCTTCACTTTGCTGTTGTACCTCCATGAAATGGCATAAGCAATATTACTTCTGCAATATTTGAGTGTAAAACTGGATGTTTAAACTAGAAAGAAAAAAACAGGAGAGAACTTGATTTTAAACATCTGTATACATACAATTGATATACGACCAGGAACATGCATTAAGAAAGAACAGAGTCAGTTGTGCTTTTATTTTGTCTTTAGAAAAAGAAGGAGCATTTCTGTAGATACTGAAACAGTTTATTCTTTCTTCAGCCCCACAATTTCCCATCGGGGACATAAAATGGTAAAAAGTTAAACAAAAGGACAGAATAAAAATTAGAGAGATGCAGAAAAGCTGCCTGGAGGAAACATCCCATAAGCAGCACATCAACAGACACAGAAAGAGATTTATTCAGAGAACACATTTATCTGATAGAAACGACCCGTACAGTGTTCAGCTCGTCCCAGTGAGGTTGATTTGTGTGTAGGTCATCTAGAATTATGCATGTAACTGATTACAAGACGCTTTTAAAGAGCGTTTACAGTTTTTCTAAATGAAAGACTGCTGAGGAACAGAAGCACAGCGCAGACAAACTTGATCAAATATTTGTAATATTTGTTTAGTGCTTCATGAACATCTATATTACCACTTCAGATCCGCACAACTTGCACTGCACTTATGTTCCTTTAGCAGATGCTCGCATGGAAAAGCAACTTGGGCCCAGACCGGATCTGCATACTTTATTTTATGCACTGAATGATTTTGAAAAATCTAATGGATTTAAACATGCTAAACTGTTAAATAAGTTTCTACACTATACTTGTATTTCAGCAAGGATGCATTACATTTCTATTTCAAATAAATGCTGTTCTTTTCACTTTCTAGTCATTAAAAAATTCTGAAAAAAAGTGCATCATGGTTTTTACAAAAATATAAATCAGCATAACTGTTTTCAACATGGATAATAATCAGAACTGTTTCTTGAGCTCAAACCAGCATATTAGAATGATTTCTGAAGATCATGTGACACTGAAGACTGGAGTAATGATGCTGAAAATTCAGCTTTGATTACAGGAATAAATTACATTTTAAAATATATTCACATAGAAAACAGTTATTTCAAATTGCTATAATATTTAAAAATATTACTATATTTACTGTATTTTTTTGAACAAATAATTGGATCCTTGGTGAGCAGAAGAGACCTCTTTAAAACAGTTTAAATTTGAGAATGTTTAAAATTTGTTAAAAATTTTAAAAGAATAATGATAATACAAAATTACATTTGTACAAAATAGTAAAATATCTGAGAAATACGGGTGGAGTTAGTGAAAATAGCCTTTGCCAACAAGGTTGGCTATTTGCACTCAGTGTAAATAGACATTGGCATTATTCAAACCATGTGCTTCTGAATCACACGTTTCTATCAAGAGCAGCAAGGCTTTATGAACCATATAATCATACAAATCTATATTAGCAGTGTCTTTTGGGTCAAGTTTGTGTTTATAATAAGTAGGGCAACAAACAGGCATCTCTCTGTTTGGGGGCTGAGAGACCCAATGCCCATTTTAATAGCGTGACAAAATATTTAACTTTAAAGAATCAGGCTCACACTGGGTGACATTTTCTGATTTTAAGCAAAATTACAGCATAACTCATTTTATGTGGCCAAAAATGTTTCATAATTTCTGTTTTGGCTCTCAGAGACCCGAGATATAAAACATGAATAAATGCATTGGATTTCCACATGCTACAATGATCTGACTAGAGCACACTTCAGAAATACACTTCTGCAAGCGTTTTAGTTTGATTTATTTTATTGTATTGTTCTACAATTGTATCTGCTGGTGTCAAATTGACCCCAAACAGAAACTGTACGGCATAATAATAATTTTTCTGAAAGGTGCATGCATAGTTTATGATACATGAGATTGTTAAAACTTCAATAACACCTGCCTGCTGGGTTTTGAGTATTTCAGACGAACATATTTAAATGATTCAAATAATATAATTAAGACAGTGAGAACAAAACATAAAGCAAACTAGTCTCACCTGATGGAGGACAGATGGTGTTTTTTCAGGTGTCCTCCAGTATCTGAATCCTACAGGTTCAGGCCTCGCAGCTTCCCTGTCTGAATAAAACAAGAAAAGTCCACGTTGAGTTGCATTTTCCGTGTTTTTCATTGAGAAATGGAACATAATACCAACTAAAGTGTGTCTCTGTGCGTATGATATAAATCCAGCGGCGTTTCCTGCCACTCCTGTGTCACAATAAGGCCGATCCTCCTGTTGTGTGTGTTTACACTGTCAACAGAGGCCTGCTTAGACTGACTTAACCTGCATCACTTACAGGTGTCAGGAAGACAGCGAGCGAGTGGGAGAGATTTTAATCTGACAGACTGTCGCTGCGCCACCCGGCTGTGATGGATCGTTCTCTGTCAGCGTTTCCATGGAGATGCAGTCATGGCATCATCTGACAGCTAAGGTGGCAAGCTAACTATTCCTTGCCGTTGTTTTTTTAGGGCAAGTAATCGCACATCACACTGGCAGCTAACACCTGACAGGCAGCTATTTTCCCAGCATGCTCCCGGTTCACGGGACAGAGCGGCACACACTCTTGTCAACCGCTCAGGTATTGTGTGTCAGGTTCTGCATCGTATTTACGTCGTATCACGCTGTTGTAATTACCAGTGGGAAACTCTGAGAAGCTTTGGCTTTCCGAGTTGAGGGCGTGTTCATTTAGAATTGTGGTAGAAACACGTTGTTATTGATCAAAATTAAAGCTGAATTGTGTCATTTTTGTCTCACGAGCATCACCATATAACACTTCTATCTGCTATTGGTCATCCATCAGCTAGCCACGCCCCTGACAAACGCCATTGGTTGAGTCACTCATAAAGCCTTGGGATAGTTGAACATTTTAGAACAGCACATGACTGATAAAATGAATTATTATTAATATACTAATATTTTTGGAAACACAACATGCACCCTGCAGTTTTCCGCCAAAAAAAAATGAAGAAAATGAAGAAATTAAGACTGTACTGTAAAATAAAATGTATGTTCTTAAATACCCAATTTATTTTACAGTGAAATATTGCAATAGTAATATTTCTCATTCATCATAATTTAATTGAGTAATAATTATAATTATTAAAATAAAAATATAATAATAGTAATAGTTAACATTTTATTTTACAAAACCAAAAACGTTATTATTAGTTTATAACCACGTTGATTTACAATTTTACTGTAAAATATCACAATAGTAATTTTTCTAATTTTGTTTAATATTTTAGTAATAATAATAACTGAATGATTTTACAATACTACTACTACTACTACTACTACTAATAATAATAATGGATAATAAATGGATTTTCCCAACACATTTCTTTTCTTTAATTTTCTTTAATAATTTAAAATCATGCAATCTTCTCCAGAATCAAAGCAGAATTCATCTCTTTTCCATCACTGTTTTGGGATTCTGGCAACACAGTGTGATCCAGAGCGACAGGCAGCAAGTGTCTGTCATTGACCCTTACTCACTCATTCTGTGTTTACAACCGAAGAACGGCCTACACACACACACACACACTGATCAGCATGGCACTCATGTCCTGTCAGAGTCTCACACCATCTGGAGCTGGTGAGAAAAAAGAAAAAAAAAGAAAAAGAGAGAGAAATTCCCAAACATGTCTGTTGTAAACACTCATGGACGAGTAAGTGCTCCTCGTTCCTGCACCGCTGCCTCCTCCTCCTCCTCCTCCTCCCCCTTCCCCTTGACTCGGCCCTGCTCTCACAGCTGTAATTACAGTGACGCTGCGGCAGCATCATTATACGCTCGTCACCTGCTGACAGACCCGAGAGAAAAGCAGCAGCAGGAGCACTGAGAGGATGACTGCACTGAGGAATCCACCGCATGAGACTGAAAACCTAATACTGCTCTGTCCCTGACTCCAACCAATCTGCTTCTGATCCAAAACCATCCGTTTCTGAGTCCAAACAGTCTTCCCTTGACTCCAAACAATCTGTCCCTGGCTCTAAACAATATACACAACCACAAAAACTTGTTCCAGACTCCAAAAACTCTGATTCCAAACACTTAACTTTGATTCCAAAAACTCTTCCAGTGACTCCAAATACTCATCTTTGACTCTAGAAACTCTTTAAAAAGAATGCCATTTAATCAGACTACGAAGACGATGGAATACCTTGCCTTTAGAGATTAGAAACAGACCCCTTCTCTGTCTGTTTTTAAGTCCTTGCTAAAAACGTATTTGTTTTCTTTAGTGTATTGACTACTGTTATACAGTTATTTTTAAACAGGGTTTTTTTCTGATCTGTTTTCTGTGTATTTTTAAAATCCTGCTCTTCTGTAAAGTACTTTGGTCAGATTTTGGTCAGTAACTTGAACTTGAGATCAGAATCTGATGTATGTTTTGTGTTGTTTTTGTTGTTGTTGTTTTATACTGAAGCACAATAAAAAAATTAGCTAATTAAGAAACAGAAGATATTATCTCATTTTCTCAGTCTTTCTTTTTTCAACGTTACTTGGTGCATACAAGGGCCGGATTCACAAAACATTCTTGTGAATAAAATTCTTCTTAACTGGTATTTTCTTCTTATTTTTAAACTACAAATATTTTGTATACTTCCAAAAAACTTCTTAAGAAAGGTCTTAAGTCTGTTCTTAAGACAAAACTTACGAAGACCTCAAATCTCGAAATTGCAAATAACTTTCGAGAAGTTTTTAATCAACTTTCAAGTATTTAAGCATTATAACGCGCACACATTTGAACATATATTTGTATGCATTTATATATATATAAAATAAAAAAGAATTAAGTAAATAATTAAGAAGTTACCTTAGGAAGTTATTTTTTTTATTAAGAACACTTTTGTAAAACAGGCCTCTTAAAATTGCATCACCCTCTTTTCTACACCTACAGACATGAGGCAATCATACAGTAATGAATAGGATATGCCTGAAATTTCCTGGCAAATTCAACCCAAACCGCTCCTAATATAAATCATTATTGTGTCATACCACAGAGTATCACAGAACACTGATTGTTTCATGTACTCATTCAATAATGCCATTTTGTTAATTTTTTTATCCCAAAAATCTTTCATAGTGCAACTTTAGAAAGTTAATTATATACACAACTTGGATTTCTGCATGAAGCAATTCACTGAATTTATTGATAATGGTATTTTATACCACCACTGAGTAAAGCTCAAACCTCCAAACATAATTCACCGGTGCTCTCTGCCAAGTTGTTCGTTCAGAAATTTCATATGCCGTCTTAATCAATACGCACCATTTGGTCTTGGTCCGCTAAGTTTGGCAGGAGTGCTGAGCAACACTGGAGTGATAGGAGACTTCAGTTTCTGCTAAAAGAACACACACAGACTTTAGATGTAGAAAAGACAGATAACATGAATGTGATTTCATTAGATAACAGGTCCTGCAGTGTTTGAAAGCATGCGCCACTCAGTTTGCCATTCAGACAGTTCAAGTTTGATTTAAGGGAATAGTTCGCCCAAAAATTTAAATTTGCTGAAAAGGTATTCACTCTCCAGCCATCCAATATGTAGATGAGTTTGTTTCTTGATCAGAACAGATTTGGAGAAAAGTAGCATTGCATCACATGCTCACCAATGGCTCCTCTGCAGTGAATGGGTGCCGTCAGAATGAGAGTCCAAACAGCTGATAAAAACATCACAATAATCCACAAGTAATCCACACCACTCCGGTCCATCAAATAACATCTTGTGATGCCAAAAGCTGCGTGTTTGTAAGAGACAAATCCATAATTTTTTATTTCAAACTGTTGTTTCCGAATAAAATACGAGTCCTCTATCCATAATATTGCTTTCTCCAGTTAAAAAGTAATTTCGCCAAGAAGTAAATATGCACAAGCACCATTTACAAGCAAAAGCAGTCCAAAACAGGTCTAAACAAATATGCGGGTGGATTTTGATGTAAGAGGACAACAGGAGATTTTTTACTCAAGGAAGTGTTATTATGGATTCTTATTTTAGTCAGAAGCAATAGTTTAAAGTTAAAAACATCTTAATGATGGATTTGTTTCTTACAAACATGCAGCTTTTCGCTTCACAAAACATTAACTGATGGACTGGAGTGGTGTGGATTATTGTGATGTTTTTATCAGCTGTTTGGACTCTCATTCTGACGGCACCCATTCACTGCAGAGGATCCACTGGTGAGCAAGTGATGCAATGCTACATTTCTCCAAATCTGATGAACAAACAAACTCATCTACATCTTGGATGGCCTGAGGATGAGTAAATGATCAGCTAATTTTCATTTTTGGGTGAACTATTCTTTTAAGTTTCCAAATACTACTAAAGCTTAAACATAAAATGACTGATATATGACAGATGAAACAATAGAAAGATCTGAGTATTCACAAATGCTTTTGGAATTGTTTCTATCCTCTGGGTCCTGCGGCACTGTTGTGATCCTGTTGTTGGCTCAGATGCGGTTGGATCTATTCATTCCTAAATCTGTTCCGAATGGATCCAAGCACCTGCTGACAGAGTGGTTTTATTTTGACTTTGTGCAGCACCCAGACAGCCACTGAAGTTCACGTATTTGACAGTCATCCAGAGATTTCTCTCTTTCCCTCCTTTCAGTTTTCTATTGCTCTCTCTCTTTCTGGCATCAGCTGGCACTAAGGTAAATCAGGTCTGAGTGCTTGGCTGTTCATTTCCGGGGTTTGCTCCCAGTAGAGGTGAGAGTGATTGTTGTGTGGTGTACAGTGGTGAAAGTCTGGGACTATGCAGGCTTTTATCTCCAGTCTGGATGACTCATTCAATCTGAGCTTCTGGGCAAAAAAGTTTTATACTGTACAATTTGTGTGATACAGTGGAGCTGTCTTACAAAACTCTCACAGATCATTTTTTATTACATTTTTAATCTTATTTTCATTTAAAAACTGCAACATTCTGAAATGTAAAAAATGAAGGCGGAATCTCAATGATTTAGTGGATATCTGATAGTCGGATTACTATGCAAGAACAATTTTCCGCTCCAAAGAGCAGATAAGTCATTATCAAGGGACACTTTAAAATTATTCAGAAAGTAATAATTTATAACTCTCTTTGTCAGAACTGAATATTAGAATACTGCATACTGGACAGTGTATACTGGCTTTTTAAGTGTGGGAAACAGAATGCAGTATATATTTGGACTGTTACATTTTCTGCCACCTTTATTGGTTAGAGAAGTAACAGCACATCTCTCCCACCAAGACTCATGATTTGAGGAATCATTCAAATCACTAACCTTAAATATGAGCCGTAGTCACAGTGATGATTGCTTTAGCAAGCACCATTAATGATAAATTATGTTAGTACAGTAGTACATTGTTCTCACATGACCTTATTAAGTTGCATGTCTAATTCTGCAAGTGGCATCCAGTCTTGGAAAGTAATTTTGAGCAAAGATGTCTTTAGTCCAGGCTAATAAAAAAATCTGGCAAATTAAACTAAAAGAAAATAAGTAAATAAAAAACATATAAATAAACAACAAATAACTAATAAAAATGAATAAATATAATTAAAAAATACTTCAAATGCATTAAACTCTTACAGTATTATTATTAATAATAAATGAAATATGTAAATTATATATATATATATATATATATATATATATATATATATATATATATACAGTATATGTGTGTGTGTGTATAAATAAAAATAATTAAATACAATTTTAAAATGCTACAAATGCATTAGAAAAATCTGAAAAAGTTCTCTGAAAATAGTACGCTACTCTGAACTTCCTGTGACATCACTTCCCTTTTCTATTACTCTTTCTTACCTGGCACCTGCTATTGTCATGGCGGTTGTCAGAGATGACCGTCAGTCTCACGTGTCTTTGTATGGGTAGCCAGCCAAAGCGAACCGGAGCGAGAGCACAGAACTGAGATCTTTCTCCAGTGGGAGCAGCTTTAATGTGAACAGACTCCAGGCTGCTCAAGGAGCTTTCACACACACTGGGACAGACGTTAGGTGTCTGATTCCTCTTTCGGAGAGAGGAAACATCAGGACATGGCAGGTTACTTCCTGCTGTCTCATTTGGGAGAACCGTCATCGATACCGTCCGGTCCACAAACGGAGGTATTTGATTCCGAAGCCGACGTGATTGGAGTCTCTCCAGCGTCTGAAGCCATTTGTCCATCCTGCCACCCTCTATGCAGCTCAATGGACGAGCTCCGCGAGGGGGCTCATTCACCTGTGCCGCAGGGCCCTCGTAATAACCCCGCTCTCCAGGCCTCTTCCATGATGAGGACCTGCAAAGGAGACTCGTGCTGTTTTTGCCAGCTGCACCATGGGGCTGAAGTAGCTGCCGCCAGCCCTCAGGCTTCACATCCTCCATAATACACTCTGAGAAAGACATTGAAAATGGATCTTAAATGGATAGTTCACCCAAAAATGAAACTTTGCTGTTCATTTACTCGCACTCAGGCCAAGACGAAGATGATTTCTTTTCTTGAGTAGAACAGTAAAGAGGTTTTTAGCTGAAAATGTGGTCCTTGGTGATTCGTAAAATATCATCCCGTTTTTGAGAATATCAGGCAACTCAAAATCAATACCTGTAGCTCCTGACAATATATATTGAGGTCTTAAGAAGCGAAACGATCTGTCTGTGCAAGAAACTGAAAATTATTTACAACATTATAGCCTGTAATCCAGTGTCTCAGGCAAACGGGGAAATCTCATTCTTTTCCACAAACTGTTTTTTTTTTTTAGACAGTTCATTTCAGTGAACTGGTTCAATTCAATCGTTCGTTTATGTAATCATGCAATGACATAACATATACACAGTTATGTTAATAAAACACCCATTAATGAACATGTAACTTGAAGATCTGTGCTGCTCAAGCCACGAACTGTTTTAGATGGCTCAGTCCAATCTTGTGAACTGGTTCTTTCAGTTCTCTAAAAAGAACTGGTTCAAAAGAATGATTCGTTTGTGAACCGGACATCTCTCCGGACTGTTTACCTAAACTATGGATTATAGGAAATAATGTTGTAAGTAATGTTCAGTTTCTTGCACAGACCGATCGTTTCGCTTCTTAAGACCTCAATATATCGTCAGGAGCCACAGCTATTAATTTTGTGTTCCTTGTTATGCTTTTTTCCCTCTCAAATACGGGCAGCTGCTGACTTGTTTTCTCATAAAATTAACATACAAGCATGTCCACTCTTAAAAAAATCAGTAAAAAATACACCAAAACACCTTAAAAATATAAATTCTCTGAGCTGTTTTCAGCTTTTTCTATTGCTTTTGGCAAATAGTTTCATAGATTTCTTACAGTGACATCCTAATTGAGCTCAGACTGCTTAGTCAATACAATCCTACACAAACTCACTTAAATTCGCCAATACTCAACAAGTTGACATGACAGCGTGCACAATTAGCAGAACACTTTACCTGCGTCACACGGCTCTGAAGAGGATGAAACAATCTGACTTCAAAAAGCAATAGCACTGAGACAATCCCAGCTTTCCTTCCATGTCTCTTTCTCTTGTGGTGTGAAGAGTTGCCACTGGTGCTGTCTTCTCTCAGCCATGACTATAAATGTGTGTGCTAGTCTGAACGAACAAAAGACTTACAGAACAACTCCTATTTTCACTGGAAGAGAGATGTGTGTGTGTGTGTGCGTGTTTGCTAGCAGCCAGCAAATACCCCCTTTTTCATCCTAGGACATGTTGGCTTGGAGTTGTTTTGTTTACTCTCGGAGATGCTTTTAACATTCGTCTTGCGGTCACAAAGGACTGTTTAGTTTAACACAGATAATCTAAAGTGAAAAAGCATTATCTGGATAAACACTACACTTTGTACTACATGCATTTTCTTCTCTTTCAGTGTTTTTTTTAAAGGTCAAGGTCAAGGTCAAGTTTATTTATATAGTATGTGCTGACCAAGGTGCTGCACAACCAAAACATCAGAAAAATCAACTAACAAAAGCATTAAGACAATATAAAATTTGAAATCATTAAATAATACAATAAGTAATGCAAGACATCACCAAACAAAGAAACAAACAGAAACAAAACAAAAAAGTATTTTCAAGTTAAAGGGGTCATATGATGCGATTTAAATTTGTCCTTTCTCTTTGGAGTGTTACGAGCTCTTGGTGCATAAAGAAGATCTGTAAAGTTGCAAAGACTAAAGTCTCAAATCCAAAGAGATATTCTTTATAAAAGTTAAGAGTCAGCCACACCTACCTAAAATGCCTCGTTCTAACACGCCCCCACATGTCTATGTCACGATGTGGGAAGATCTGCATAACGCCGCCCAAATGTTCACGCAAAGAAAGAAGGCGTAACTTTTATTCTCGCTGTAGTATTGTTACCGCCGCCGCCATGTCGTGAAGGCGCTGTGTGCTTCGTTGTGAAAGCGAAACTACTTTGTTTGGTCTTCCGAAAGAGGACGTGGAAGTGGACGAAGCGGAGTCCAGCCCGGGGTCGTCACATGTGGTTGCCACAGGCATCACGGTATGGTAAGGGACGTAACATTTCTGTCACATGCTTGAAGAATTCGGCCAATCACAACACACTGGATAGCTGGCCAATCAGAGCACACCTTGCTTTTTCAGACCGATGAGCTTTGTAAAAATCTACGCGTTTCAGAAAGGCGGGGCATAGAGGAGAAACAATAATGAACAGTATGTGGAAAATAATGTGTTTTTTGAACCTTAAACCGCATAAACACATTTCATTACACCAAATACACAAAATAATGTTCTTTTTAGCAACATCATATGACCCCTTTAAGCAAAAGCCTGAGAAAAAAGATATGTTTTAAGAGATTATTTAAAAGAAGATAACGTAGGGGATGATCTGATGGATAAAGGCAAAGAGTTCCAGAGTGTAGGACCAAGAACTGAAAAAGCTCTGTTCCCTTTAGATTTTAAACGAGATTTTGGGACAATCAATAATTAAACTAGAACATTTTCTCAGAGTGCAAAACTAGTGCAAAATTCACTGCCGCAATGGATTTTGTGGGTGGTTTTAACGAGCGAATGAGTGGGTGGTTGCTCACTTAGCCAAGTCAAAACCTCCAACTTTTAACTATCTTTGGTGTAATATTTTGATCTCTAGATATGGCTCGGTTATCTATTTCAAAATGAATTGATTGGATTGTTTCCAATTATCCACCAGGCAAGAAACTTTGAAAATCACTTAGAAAAGTAACAGCAAAACTTTGTTTAACAAGCTGCAAAATATAAACAATCATTAATGTCTTTAGCACAAACTTAGCATAGCAACACACTAAAAACCGGACACCATAGCAGCTGCATAACAACACACTAAAACCCCCCAGAACACCATAGCAACTGCATAGTAACACACTAAAACCCCCAAAAGGACACCATAGCAACTGCATAGAAACACACTAAAATATGACACTACATAGCAACACACTAAAACCCCTCAGAACACCATAGCAGCTGCATAGTAACACATTAAAAACCCCATCAATGCACCATAGCAACTGCATAGCAACGCACTAGCACCATAGCAACTGCATAGCAACTTACTAAAAACCCCATCATACCACCATAGCAACTACATAGCAACACACTAAAAACCCTATCAGGACACCATAGCAATACATTAAAAAAACCCTGAACACCATAACAACCACCTAGCAACACCCTGGCAACTAACCAGGTTGTTCTAGCTTTACATCAGTGAGTTTTTCACATGCAAACAGCAGTCAGAAAATCTTCAGAAACCGTGAAACTCAAACTGAGATCTTGGTTAGAAGTGTATCATGTAACACACTCAGAGCTGCTGCTGTCCCGTGGTTTGGAGCAGGACATGTGATTGCCTTCAGCCGATTAGCGCTTCAGGGAGTTGAATCAGATAATGAGGCTGTTCATGTTTGTGTCGGGACACCCACATGATCTCCCAAGTCCACAAAAGCATATCTTCAGGGTGAAGACGCATGTGAAATATTATTATTACAATGGACTGCACGGAGCGTTCTGTACATCTCCTGGGGTTTCTGTAAACAACACCTCCGTTCTGCTGCTTCAGGATCATCTGCAAACTTAAAAAAAGCCCTTTGACCTGTAAGAAAAAGAAATCGCATGTGAGATATCTTTGAAGGTGCTGCTGTGTGTATTTTTGACTGAAATTTTGTTGCAATTTTTTTGTTTCTCAGTTTCTGAAAAGAACGAAGCAGGAGAGGTTTCTATGAGGGTCTCAAGAGTCTCTACCTATACACACCACAACATCAAATGATGCTTCACTGGAAGTTTACGAGCTGGCTTATCTTAATGCGGAAGATCCATTGTGATCCATTGTAAAATCATAGACATTTAAAGCTGTTCACACACTGAGGATTCATCTTTGCTGTGTGAATTGGGACAAACTTCCACAGTAAAGGCAATAAGCATTCTTAAATAGTCATCGTTTTCTTCTCAGTCTGAATATAGACTATTTTGTTTCATATGAGACACAGAAATGCAGCTTTTCCCTAAGGTTACTGCATCTAACCCACATCATTATTGTAATTACGCTGGCTCTTGCTTTTCCTGTCGGGCCCTATGGACTCACAAAGAAAATGATGTTCAGAATAGTATACAGTACTACCATACTGCTCTTACATTTCTGTAGTATGCATAGTGTGCACACTGTGTACTTTTTTTTCTAAAATGTTTATATAAATCTTCTCATCACATGGCACCTTGGAAATAAAGAATTTTAGTTTGCATTTTCAGTAAAAAAGTCTTAAAAAGATCATGCATATAGGATATATGCATACTATTTGCAGTACATACTACTCTTACTATTTTTGCAGTATGTATACTGTGCACAATGTGTAGTTTTTACTAAAATATCACTATAAATTTTATCGCATGGCATCTTGGAATTAAAAAAGAATCTTAAAAAGATGCATGGAATAAACAATATAGGCATATTATACGCTGTACTATGCTTTGAATAGTATACTACCTTACTACTCTTATTATTTTTGCAGTATGCACACTGTGCAAAGTGTGTAATTTTGTTGTCTTTTCTAAATAGTTTAATCTCTTGGCACCTTGAAAAAAATATATATATATATTTCGTTATTATTTGTAGTAAAAAAGTCTTAAAAATATCTATATTGCACACATAAAGAATGTATACTTTATACAGATTGTGTTTTTTATTTTTGCAGTATGCATACTGTGTGTGCACAGCCTGTAATTTCTGCTAAAATGTTTCTATAAATCTTCTCATCATATGGCACCTTGGAAAAAAATATATATTTTTAATAAAAAAAAGTCTTAAGATCAATATTGCTTGCATAAAGAATATATTCATACTATACACTGTATACATACATACTATGTTCGGGGTAGTATACTGTACTACCAAACTGCTCTTACTATTTTTGCAGTATGCACACTGTGCACAGTGTTTAATGTTTTCTAAAATGTTTCTATAAATCTCATTACAGGGCACCTTGGAAATAAAGATTTAGTTAGCATTTTTAGTAAATAAAGGATTAAAAAGGTAAATATTCCATGTATAAGCAATTATAGCATACTATACAGAGTATGCACACTGCAGAAATAGTAAGTAGTATGATAGTATTCCATTCTGAACTCAATGAGCAGAACTAGCAGCGCCCCCTGCAGGTGGATGATGCATCTGAGGGAAAGTGTACTGTGTGTTCTCGTTAGGGGGAAGACTGATATGAAGTATAAATAAACATGTAAAGGCAGATTGGTGTGTGTCGGGTCCAAACCTCTGCTGGTAATAAGAAATCTCTTTATCATTAGAGGAGAGAGATAAGGAAAAGATAAATAAAAGCTTGTATGAGTCACACAATCAAAGCAGGCCTATCCTGCTACATCTATTTCATGTTTATTCCCAGCCATTATTTTCCTGTGATCAATTTGGTATTTGTTTCTAATTTTAAGTGGGTAATTTTCTGTTTTGTTCTCTGTGCTTTGGGCCGTGACTCATGCCTCAGCATGGCTTACTCTCTGTATTTACGGAGGGATTTCCTAATTAAAGCTGTCAAATGTCTTAGAGGCTTAGAGCAAACAAATAAGAAAGGCACAGGAGAACAATTAAAAGAATAATTCACCCTGAAACAAAACTTCTGTCAGTATTTACTCTCCTCATTTCGTTCCAAAGCTATTTAATGCTATTTCTTCTCTAGGAGATGTTAAGCTGAGATGTTCATGATGCTCTTTGAAGCTCAAAAAGCAACAAAAAATATCATAACATCACTTTTACAGCTCTCAAATTTAGGAAAAAAGCTTTTTTTTTTAAGTATGTATACATATATGTACATATTTACATTTAAAATTAGAGAACACTTACAGATACCTCCAAGTTATTGGTGTTAATCTGGCACCTCATGCTAATTTCCTTAATCATCTGACAAATCCTATTTAAATCCTGTTGAAATCGGTTCAACACTGCAGCTGGAATTGCTCGCCAGTTCAGCGCTGAACAGAGTAAGTATCTGTCTCGGCATACAGTGTATCTACGTTTAAGAGAAGTCAGACTGAAAGTGCACTCTGCAGTGACCAAGCCTCTCATCAGCAGAAAGAATCAAAAGACTAAACTCACTTTTGCTGAGGATGTTCATGTTGTTTGGACAGAGGAGAACTGGTCCAAAGTTCACTTTCGTTGATGAAAGCAAGTTTAATTTATTTGGGTCCGATGGGAAACATTATGTTCATCATCAAACTATTGAAAGACTGAACACAAAGTGTGTAAAGAAGTCAGTGAAAGGTAGAGGAGGAAGTGTGATGGTTTGGGGCATGTTTTCTGCAGCAGGAGTTGAGCCTCTTATACAGATACATGGCAGGTGAATGCAAATGTTTATCAGAACCTCCTTCAACAACATGCAGCTCCTTCCCTGTGGTCATCACCCAATCAGCCAGTAATTTTCATGCAGGACAATGCCCCCGTCACACAGCAAAACGGGTAAAGCAGTTCCTTGAAGCTGAAAACATTGAAATAATGAAATGACCGGCCCAGAGTCCTGATCTAAACCTGATTGAAAATCTCTGGAAAATCCTTGGCGACAAAGTTATGAAACCCACTACAGTCACCGAACTGCGGAAGAGACTGGAAGAAGAGTGGACCAAGATATGATTTCATAGTTTATTTATTTATTTAATGCATATTTTGTTGTTGATCGGAAGTCAGAGTGCGGGACAAGGTAAGTAATAATACATAAAAACATAAACAAATGTGAAAAGTGACAAAAATAAATGAAGAATATATTTTTTAATGCTACCTTCAGGTAACAAAAATAAATCTGCTAGTTTTAGCAATAGTAATAATGGTGCTTGCGTCAGCAAACACCAATAAAAAGCTGAAATAAATCTCTCTTTCTGCTGAACGTTTCACTAGGTAATGATGATGAAGTGTTTGAGCTCTATTCTTCAGGCTGAGAGAGTGAGAGAGAGGTGTTTAATGTGACAGGGTCCGCACTAAACCAACAGGCCTCTTATATATACACTGATTAATGTTAAACAGCCTCTTCACAATGCTGCGGGGCCAGAAAGCGCTTACACTTGGAGAATAAATCATTAATTTCTCATAAAGGCATGTATCTGTGGGCTAACAATGAAAGCACATTTCTTTAACATTTACACTGAAGTTTCAGATGAACACAAAGGATGCAGGAGCTTCTTTTAATGTTGTTTTAGTCAAATTCTTAAAACATTAACTGCAGGCTACAAAACACAACAACAAATGAACAAAGAAGTGGAAACTGCATGCAGAGATGCCATCTAAAAGGCTCATTCTCCAAATGTTTTGCATAGTGTAATGATTCAAAAGACAGTCTTTGTCCCACAGAGCAGCTTTAATTGCAAGCATCTGGGGATGGTTTGTGTGCAAAGCAACATACTTTCACAGAAACAACAATTAACCTCAAACGAAGTGATAATTTCTCTGGAAAAGCAGGAATTAAGTGAAGTCGGTGGCTATGAGACAGTATCCCAGAGCAATCTTTTCTAATTGGTCCCCATAATCAAATTTTCAGCAGTCGCCACAGTCTGCAGCTATTTATGACAGTGAAAATTGTCTCGTTATGAGTATTAGAGGATTCATAATGTATTATGCTGTGCTGTTAATTTTGTTTTCCATATTTTGATTAAAAATCTTTTTTACTCGAAAAATGCAACAGAAGCAGTGGAAAACAGATTAGTCTGTCCGTTTAGACCCCGGTACAAATTAAAAATAAAAAACATTATAAGAAATTGACCATATGAAAATGACATTACAAGGAGTTTCATCATGGTTTATTCAAAATGCAAAAACTCTGGACTCCATCACAATAAGCCACCATAAAGTGGCTTTAGGATCTCTGCTCAGATTCAGATTTTATAAAAATACATGCATACACACACACACACACATATAATATACATATACACATCATGTGATATGTATCAAATTATAATGTATCATGGTTCATGATAATGTATATGAAGCAGCACAACTGATTTCAACATTGACAGAGTCCTGATCTATTTCATAAAAATACATGCATCATATTAGAATGATTTATGAAGGATCATGTGACACTGAAGACTGGAGTAATGATTTTGAACTGTATATATGTGTATTTTTTGTTCAATATGACAATATTAGAGCTTGATTACAAATGATGCACAAAATATTCCTTTCACAAGTCATATTGACCTCACATACTAAAAATTGTTGGTCACATTAGGAATGACGGCACAATTTTGAAACAATTTTCATACAAAATATAACATAATTGTTTATTTCATGTCTTTAGATTATAATTTAAAACATATACCCCCGGTTTCACAGACAAGGCTTAAACCTAGTCTCAGACTACAATGCATTTCAGTGTTTTAACTGAAAGAAACTTGCACTGATTGATCTTAAAATATGTCAGTGCACTTGTTTTGTCTCGAGATGCACAAGAGTAATGCTATTTTCTAAGGCACGTTTATAAATGACATTTAAATGTCCTAATTGAACTATGGCCTAATCCTAGCTTAACCTAAACCCTGTCTGTGAAACCAGGCCATATAATGATTAATATTTCCTAACTAGCTAACTAACTAACTATGAAAAGTAGCCAAATAAATTATAAAGACATTTTTAATGTCACATTCAAGTCAAGTCAAGTCAAGTCTGCTTTATTGTCAATTCTTCCACATGTACAGCACATACACACAGCATTATTATTCATATAATAATTACCTTGTCACGTTCATTAATAATGTTTATGCTTTTACTTTACTCTGGTATTTTGGTACATTGGTAAATTGTAGTTCTCATGGTATTTTTGGTGAGGGACTGAGCGGTCGTCCGGTGACGCTGCTGTCCCACATGACAACAAGTTTCTCACATCTCCCCCTCGCGGTTCATGAGTTCAGTGATGGTGGAAAATGGCGGCTAGATGAGTCTCTCCACTACTACAGAGAAAAGAAAAAGTGTGTGGAAAAACTCTGGATATATATTTGGAATATCGACAACAACACTCACGGGCGTCTCACAACACCTTCATCAGTGAGGATGTCGCGCTGGGTGCCCACGAAGAAGGAGAAGTATGGAGTAGGTGAGTAGAGAAGAACCAAACTTCTTCATGTCCCATTACAAAAGTTTTGGGAGAAATTGTGATTCGAGTTTCTCTGTTTCCCGGCTGGCTTGGCTTATGTAAGGAGGTTTATGACTGTGGGTCAGTGTATTCGGTGTATTTGAGATATGTGTGTGAGTGTGTTTGTAATGTTTTTTGGTGGAGATTGACACACAGACGCGCCTAGTTCCAGTGTTTCCTGCGCGGCGGCCTGAATGGAGCTGATGGATATATTGTTGCTCATTGTTAGTCGCGCGCTGATACTTTGTAACAACGTTTCGCGCCGATGCGTTCTAAAGTTTCGTTCTTAATGCGTTTCCCGCGGAAGATTCTGAACGGGTTACATTCTTCCAGCCGCTGCTGCTTTCAGTCGCCCGATTGTTTCGTTTATGTCCCAGAGTTCCCACTGTCATGGATAACCTGGAAATGTTAGGATATTTAAAAACCGTGATTTTCATTCACACAATTGTTACAAAAGTTTTGGGAGAAATTGTGATTCGAGTTTCTCTGTTTCCCGGCTGGCTTGGCTTATGTAAGGAGGTTTATGACTGTGGGTCAGTGTATTCGGTGTATTTGAGATATGTGTGAGTGTGTTTGTAATGTTTTTTGGTGGAGATTGACACACAGACGCGCCTAGTTCCAGTGTTTCCTGCGCGGCGGCCTGAATGGAGCTGATGGATATATTGTTGCTCATTGTTAGTCGCGCGCTGATACTTTGTAACAACGTTTCGCGCCGATGCCTTCTAAAGTTTCGTTCTTAATGCGTTTCCCGCGGAAGATTCTGAACGGGTTACATTCTTCCAGCCGCTGCTGCTTTCAGTCGCCCGATTGTTTCGTTTATGTCCCAGAGTTCCCACTGTCATGGATAACCTGGAAATGTTAGGATATTTAAAAACCGTGGTTTTCATTCACACAATTTCTGTAGTGAATATACGTGGCCTAAAATAGGACACACAGTGAACTGAAATGCTAATAAATCCGAATCTAATGACTGGAAAACTGATGCAAAGTTATTGGTCGACAGGCGTGGGAAGCGTGATGTAAACAAATTCGTTTTATTGGGCTACTATATACGTGTATTTGCTCTCGTCGTGGTTTTTTTTAAGACTTTAGCGAATTTTGCATAAATATTGTGTAAACTAATTTGTGTTTTGTGCACACATCACATTCAGCTCTGAAATACTTCATTCTGATTGGTTAGCATCATTGGGCAGCAAGTTTGTGTCATGATTTCAGGCTCTGCTTGCATACATATTTGTGCAAGTTTCACGTCTTTCTGCTTTATTCCTCTCCTTTCTCCTCTCTTACTGTACATAAAAAAACTACTGTGTTTCTATAATGTGTCCAAATATGTTTAGAACTAGATGTTAATCAAACGCATCAGTAGTAAATGAAAACCGAACTATATTTTCCTGGCGTTTCTTCCTTCTCATATGTAATGCTAGACTGGATTGTTTTCATGCTATTCGTTGTGCTTTGCTTCATTCCTCCAGCTGTGATCGACAGCTCTGAGTTGACATGGCGTGAAGTATTGCACTGGATGATGTAGAAGCTTGTTCTTAATATCCAGGTGATAAAATCCTGCTATATAAAGTCAGAATTCTAAGGGGGGAAAAAGACAGTGTTTGTGAGAGATAAAATTAAAATTCAGAAAAAAAAGTTCCTATTATTATTATTGTTGTTGTTGTTATTACTAATTTATTTAATTTCTTTGCAGAAACTTCCACAGGCTGATGATGTTGGTGTTTTCTAACTGAACTGTTTCCGTGAACATCCATAGTAGTAGTTAATATATCAAAAGTTCACTTAGAAAGTCCCTGAGAAGATCGGGTTTTTAAGTGATGCATGGATATAAAAGAATCTTAATTCCATCTCAACTGGACAAGAACTTTATGGGTTGCATTAAATGTTGGATCAGTAGATTCTTCTTCAAAGATTTCATCAGGATAACCCCTAAAATCAGTCATAACTCTAACTCTGTGAAGTTGGAAACTCTGTGGTTTTCAAGGTCATTTCATTGATGCTGCAATCAAAAAACTTAAACTGGAATGGAGACAGTGACTCTGAGATGATTAAACAGTGTTGGGTTTGTAGTTAAAATTAAACTTTCTAAATCAAAACACACTAGCTGTAGTTAACGTTCACTCATATCTTCTCAGCATAGTTCTGCATTAATCATGCTTAAAACACAAACCAGTCACATTTGTCAGTTTATGGTTTTGAAAGTAATGGGTTAATTTTCATGTCCTCTTTTTTTTTCGGATCCTCCGCGCACCTCTGTCTCTCTGCATGAGTAAGTCTTGTGGTATTAGAGGAAGTGTTCTCCGAAAGAGGTGCGCTGCTTACGCACTGCCGTCCCATAAGAGTTTCCAAAGCAACTTTAATAGGCTTTGTGTGTGTAGTTTGTTCCTTTCATTCAGGCCTTGAGCAGAACAGCAGTGAAGTTTGCTTTGAGAGCTCTGCACGAAGATGGCTGGCTGAGAGAGACGAAGGTGCTGTTGTTGCATGAACAATAAAATGTTCATTAAAATGACTATTTCCCACATGAAACTTCTCAGATATGCATGCATGCATATTCACCATATTAAAAATCATAGTATTTTTCAGCCTTTTTTTATCTGCAATCTGTCTTGTCATTTATTTATTTGCTCAGAAATGCCGTTTTTATAGAGAAACCATCATTATAACCAAACATGTTGTAGCCACTTAGATTCAAAATTGTGTAGTTGCAAATATTCAAGACAAGTCTTTCGCTAAATTAACTCATTATATTAAATGATTTTCTTTTATATGCATCAATATATTAATACATATTTGCAATATTAAAATATATTATAAATGTTTTAAATATATTTGTATAAAAACATTTTAATATATGATCAATTCATATTAAAATATATTTATTTAATATAATGTTATTTAAAGGCAGCTGTGAGCATTTAAATTGAATCAGTTTCGAATCAATTTAAGTGATTCATTGAAATTAATCTGAAGTTTAAATTAGAGACTATATGAAAACATTTACTTTTTCATACTTAAAAGACAAGCAGATATTGTAACTATTTAATCAAACATATTTGTGTAACATTTGTAAGTCACTGTGAATCTATATCATGAATACTCATTATTTCCATGCAGGTGACTGATATTTCACGTTTTCATTTTGTTTTCTGCATGAATCATTTCTGAGGTTTTGTTTCCTTCTCTTGTTTTGGTTAGTCGTTTTAATAACCTGATTCTTGTGATGGTAATTTAAAACCAGTTAAGCTGTAACCTGTCTTCTCAGGTTTGGGTTGTGCCTGGCAACATTTGCATATCTGAAGCATTACTTTATGATGTGCTTGCCAACAAATTAATGCTTGTGTTAATTTGGATGATTATATACCTTTCTGATTGAAGGCATGGACGTAAACATTTGTTGAAAAATTTAACGAGAACCAGCTGTTTGGAATTGCATCCAGTTCTGGAAGGCATCTTGGAAAAGGTGCCAGCTCTGCACTTCCATAAGAAGTTTGGCACATGCTGAAATTCAGTTTTTCAGTGTTTTTGTGTTTGTGATTAGTCTTTTGAAAGGTCGTCTCTGATCTGGAGCTGGTTGGAGAGGCTCAGCTGTACTTCCTGCATCCTGTAAATATTCTGGCATTTTACAGACATGTTTGGAATATTTGTACGGCTCACCAAAAAACGAGACGCCTCAGTCACCCACAGGCCATCTCAACAGCAACAGACACTTAAAGGGACAGCGTCTTTTTTTTTTTTTTGAGCAGTAGTTCACCCCAAATTGAAAATTTGCTGATCATTTACTCACCCACAGGCCATCCAAGATGTAGATGAGTTTGTTTCTTCATCAGATTTGGAGAAATGTAGCATTGCATCACTTGCATATTTGTATAAAAACATTTTAATATATGATCAATTCATATTAAAATATATTTATTTAATATAATGTTATTTAAAGGCAGCTGTGAGCATTTAAATTGAATCAGTTTCGAATCAATTTAAGTGATTCATTGAAATTAATCTGAAGTTTAAATTAGAGACTATATGAAAACATTTACTTTTTCATACTTAAAAGACAAGCAGATATTGTAACTATTTAATCAAACATATTTGTGTAACATTTGTAAGTCACTGTGAATCTATATCATGAATACTCATTATTTCCATGCAGGTGACTGATATTTCACGTTTTCATTTTGTTTTCTGCATGAATCATTTCTGAGGTTTTGTTTCCTTCTCTTGTTTTGGTTAGTCGTTTTAATAACCTGATTCTTGTGATGGTAATTTAAAACCAGTTAAGCTGTAACCTGTCTTCTCAGGTTTGGGTTGTGCCTGGCAACATTTGCATATCTGAAGCATTACTTTATGATGTGCTTGCCAACAAATTAATGCTTGTGTTAATTTGGATGATTATATACCTTTCTGATTGAAGGCATGGACGTAAACATTTGTTGAAAAATTTAACGAGAACCAGCTGTTTGGAATTGCATCCAGTTCTGGAAGGCATCTTGGAAAAGGTGCCAGCTCTGCACTTCCATAAGAAGTTTGGCACATGCTGAAATTCAGTTTTTCAGTGTTTTTGTGTTTGTGATTAGTCTTTTGAAAGGTCGTCTCTGATCTGGAGCTGGTTGGAGAGGCTCAGCTGTACTTCCTGCATCCTGTAAATATTCTGGCATTTTACAGACATGTTTGGAATATTTGTACGGCTCACCAAAAAACGAGACGCCTCAGTCACCCACAGGCCATCTCAACAGCAACAGACACTTAAAGGGACAGCGTCTTTTTTTTTTTTTTGAGCAGTAGTTCACCCCAAATTGAAAATTTGCTGATCATTTACTCACCCACAGGCCATCCAAGATGTAGATGAGTTTGTTTCTTCATCAGATTTGGAGAAATGTAGCATTGCATCACTTGCTCACCAGTGGATCCTCTGCAGTGAATGGGTGCCGTCAGAATGAGAGTCCAAACAGCTGATAAAAACA